AATTCCTATCTCATACTGATGCCTAGAGGCTGATGAGAGTGAGTCTTTTCTCATGAGAACTGTAAAATCCTCCAAGTAATAGATCATTGGGGAACATTCTTTGTCTTTCTGCTCATTCTAATAACGTTCCTGAATTTTAATTCAGTAAACATTTATCTTATAAATATGCCAAGGGGGAGATTCATTTAAAAATGTCACTGAAGTAACTCCAAGGGTTTTACAGCAAACAGCAACACAGAACCTGAGGTCAGACACTTACTGAGAGATTCCCACCCCTAGCCACTGTCCTTTGGAGGGTGGGATGGCCGTGACCGTCCTCCGGCAGGTAAGCCTCCTCGGGCACACCCTATGTGGGACCACTGCATCACAGAATCTCAGAATGGCCAATGGCCAGCAGCTGGTGAGAGATGAGGAGAACAGAAAGCTGCCCAGCATCCTGGGAAAACTCCTGGGCAAGGACTTAGTGAGGGTCAGCATCAGGCCGTTAGAGCCAGCATCAGGGCCCTAGAGACAGTGCCAGGACCTCAGAGATAACTTGATGGCCTTAGCAAGCGTCAGTTAAGGCTGTTCATTAGGGACACTTAGGAGACTTTATCAGGGACATATTCAGGGCCTTGGTTGTGGACAGAATCAGAGGGATGTTCAGTGGCAGCACAGACTATAGGGACAGCATCGAGGCCTGCGCCAGGGGCAGCGTCCAGGCTGCAGGTACGGCCGCTCCTTAGGGATGGCTCAGGGCTCCATAGGACCAGCATCAGGGCTGTGGTCAGAACCAGTGTCAGCGCATTAGTCAGTGACAGAATCAGGGTGCTACTTAGGGAAAGAGTCAGGTCTTTATTATCGACAGTGTCAGGGCCTGTGTGAGGAGGAACAGGATCAGAGAAATAGGACCATTGTCAGGTCATGAGTTAGGGCCACAATTAGGGTGTTATATAGGGAAAGGGTTATTAACGACAGTGTCTGGGCCTTAGGTAGAGTCATCATCAAGACCTTAGTTAGGAAGAGCTTCAGTTCAGTTCAGTCTCTCAGTCTTGTCCAACACGTTGTGACCCCGTGGACTGCAGCACACCAGGCTTCCCTGTCCATCACCAATTCCCAGAGCTTGCTCAAACTCATGTCCATCGAATCAGTGATGCCATCCAACCATCTCATCCTCTATCATCCCCTTTTCCTCCTGCCTTCAATCTTTCCCAGCATCAGGGTCTTTTCAAATGAGTCAGTTCTTTGCAATAGGTGGCCAAAGTATTGGAACTTCAGCTTCAGCATCTGTCCTTCCAATGACTATTCAGGACTGATTTCCTTTAGGATGGACTGGCTGGATCTCCTTGCAGTCCAAGGGACTCTCAAGAGTCTTTTCCAACACCGCAGTTCAAAAGCATCAATTTTTCAGTGCTCAGTTTTCTTTATAGTCCAACTCTCACATCCATACATGACTACTGGAAAAGCCATAGCTTTGACTAGATGGACCTGAGTCAGCAAAGTAATGTCTCTGCTTTTTAATATGCTGTCTAGTTTGGGCATAGTTTTCTTCCAAGGAGCAAGTGTCTTTGAATTTCATGGCTGCAGTCACCATGTGCAGTGATTTTGGAGCCCAAGAAAATAAAGTCTCTCACTGTTTCTATTGTTTCCCCATCTATTTGCCATGAAGTGATGGGACCGGATGCCATGATCTTATTTTTCTGAATGTTGAATTTTAAGCCAACTTTTTCACTCTCCTCTTTCACAGTCATCAAGAGGCCCTTTAGTACTTCTTTGATTTCTGCCATAAGGCTGGTGTTGTTGTGTATCTGAGGTTATTGCTATTTCTCCCGGCAATCTTGATTCCAGCTTGTGCTTCAATCAGTCCAGTGTTTCTCATGATGCACTCTGCATATAAGTTAAATAAGCCGGGTGATTGTATACAGCCTTGACATACTCTTTCCCTGATTTGGAACCATTCTGTTGTTCCATGTCCAGTTCTAACTGTTGATTCTTGACCTGCATACAGATTTCTCAGGAGGCAGGTCAGGTGGTCTGGTATTCCCATCTGTTTAAGCATTTTCCACAGTTTGTTGCGATCCACACAGTCAAAGGCTTTGGTGTAGTCAATAAGGCAGAAGTAGATATTTTTCTGGAACTCTGTTTCTTTTTTGATGATCCAACAGATTTGTCAATTTGATCTCTGGTTCCTCTACCTTTTCCAAATTCAGCTTGAACATCTCAACATTCATGGTTCACATACTGTTGAAGCCTGGCTTAGAGAATTTTGAGCATTACTTTGCTATCATGTGAGATGAGTGCAATTGTGATGGGATTCCAGTTGAGCTATTTCAAATCCTAAAAGATGATGCTGTGAAAGTGCTGCACTCAATATACCAGCAAATTTGGAAAACTCAGCAGTGGCCACAAGACAGGAAAAGGTCAGTTATCATTCCAATCCCAAAGAAAGGCAATGCCAAAGTATGCTCAAACTCCCACAGAGTCAGACATGACTGAGCGACTGAACTGAACTGAACTTGAACATTCTTTGGCATTTCCTAACACCCTGGGTGCCCACCTAGAGCCTGGGCCTAGGGGCCCCAACTGGCATTTTTTGCCCAGGGAGCCCTAATGTGGGGCAGCCCAGCAACTGCTGGCAAAGGCCTCCTGTGGCAGTTTGCTTCCTTCTGCCAGAACTAGCTTTGCTCCCCACTCCGGCATTGGTCACACCAGGGGCCGGCCCACCACACTTTGCTGAGGGCCAATGGGAGGTGCCAGGTGACCCCGGCATGGCACTTGGCCCCCTCAGATGCACCTCCACAGCCTCCTCACCCATGGGCAGGACCGTACTGACCTAGGAATGTGTTTGCAAGGCTTGCAGAGTGAAGGCAGGCACCTGGCCCTGACTCAGGATTTGAGTCCCTGGGAGCAGGCCTTGAGGTCTGGCATCTGAGGAGCCACACACTGGCTGCACAAGAGGCCTGAAAACCCACTCTCTGGGCCTGCCTTTCCTGCCACCAAGGACGATAGCGTCCCCAGTCGCCTGTGGGCTGAGAGTCATCCCTGGCTGGGAAGCACTGGCTGGGAGGTCATTTTACAGTGGACATGGCCCCTGAGTCCCAGGGCCCAGGGAGGGCTCCCACACTCCCAGGGAACATACAGGCAACTTCCACATGGGTTTTCCATCAGGTTTGCTCTGCCAGAGAGACCTCTTGAGTCTTGCCCTGTCTGCACTTTGCTTGGCTACTGTGAGCAGAACACCCTGGGTGCCCACCTTGAGCCCAGGCCTAGGGGCCCCAACAGGCATTTTTCACCAGGGAGCCCTAACGCGGGGCAGCCCAGCAACAGCTTCAAAGGCCTCCCATGACTGTTTGCTCCCTTCTGTCAGAGCTAGCTTTGCTCCCCGCTCCTTCATTGGGTATGCCTGAGGCTGTCCCGCCACCCCTCAGCAGGGGATAATGGGAGGTACTAGGTGCCCTCGGGTAGATGAACCCAGCATGGCACCTGGCCCTCTCAGATGCACTCCCGCAGCCTTCTTCCCCATGGGCAGGACTGCGCTGACCTAGGAATGTGTTTGCAAGTCTCGCAGAGTGCTGGCAGACACCCGGCCATGACTCAGGAATTGAGGTCCTGGGAGCAGGCCCGGCCATCTGGCATCTGAGAAGCCACACGCTGGCTGCGCAATTGAGGCCTGAAAACCCACTCTCTGGGGCTTCCTTTCCTGCCTCCAAGGACGATAGTGACCCAGCCGCCCGAGGGCTGAGAGTTACCCCTGGCTGGGAAGTGCTTTTGGGGAGGTCACTTTGCAGTAGCAATGGCCCTTGTGTCCTCGCAGCCAGGGAGGGCTTCCACACTCCCAGGGAACGTCCAGGCAACCTCCACATGGCTTTTCCATCACGTTTGCTCTGCAGGAGCGAGCTTGCAAGCCTAGACCTGTCTGCACCGTGCTCAGCTCTTGTGGGCAGAACACCCTGGGCACCCACCTGGAACCCAGGCCTAGGGGTACTACTGGCATTTTTCACCCGGGGAGCCCTAACGGGGGGCGGCCCAGAAACTTCTTGCAAAGCCCTCCCGTGGCTATTGCTTCCTCCTGCCAGAGCTAGCTTTGCTCCCCGCTCCGCCATTGGGCACACCAGGGGCTGGCCTGCCACCCCTCACCGGGGGCCTATGGGAGGTGCCAGGTGCCCTCAGCCAGGTGACACTGGCATGGCAACCCGCCCCCTGAGACATACTCCCGCAGCCTCATTCCCCATGGGACAGTCCCCTGTCCCATGGGCAGGACCGCGCTGACCTAACAATGTGTTTGCACGCCTCGCAGACTGCAGGCAGACACCCGGCCCTGACTTGGGAATTGAGGCCCTGGGAGCAGGCCCGGAGGTCTGGTGTCTGAGGAGCCACACACTGGCTGCACGACAGAGGCCTGGAAACCAACTCTCTGGGGCTGCCTTTCCTGCCTCCCAGGAAGAGAGCGTCCCCAGCCGCCTGCGGGCTGAGAGTCACCCCTGCCTGGGAAGCCCTGGCTGGGAGGTCAGTTGGCAGTGGCAATGGCCCCTGGGGCCCCGTGCCCAGGGAGGGCTCCCACACTCCCAGGGAACGTCTAGCCAACCTCCACACGGCTGTTCCGTCACGTTTGCTCTGCAGGAGAGAGCTCGCGCGCTTAGGCCTGTCTGCACTGTGCTTGGCTTCTGCGGGCAGAACACCCTGGGTGCCCACCTGGAGCCCGGACCCGGGTCCCAAACTGGCTTTTTTCGCCTGAGGAGCCCTAACGCAGGGCGGCCCAGCAACTGCTTGCAAAGGCCTCCCATGGCTGTCTGCTTCCTTCTGCCAGAGCTAGCTTTGCTACCTGCTTCAGTTTTTCGCAAGCTAGGTGCTGACCTGCCACTCTTTGCCAGGGGCCCATTGGAGGTGCCAGGTGCCCTTGGCCATGTGACCCCAGCATGGCACCTGGCCCCCTCAGACACACTCCCGCAGCCTCCTTCCTCATGGGCAGTACTGTGCTGACCTAGAAATGTGTTTGCCAGGCTCAGAACATGCAGGGTGACACACAGCCCTGACTTGGGAATTGAGGCCCTTGGAGCAGGCTTGGAGGTCCGACCTCTGAGGAGCCAAACCCGTGCTACGAGGAGAGCCCTTAAAACACATTCTGTCACCTGCCTTTCGTTCCTCCAAGATAGATAGCTTTCCCAGTCTCTTGCGTGCTGAGAGTCACAGAGGGCTGGAACGCGCTTGCTTTAATGTCATTATTCAGTGGCAATAGCCCCTGAGGCCCTGTGCCTAGGTCGGGCTCCCACACTCACAGGGGAATCAAAGTGACTTCCAAATGAGTCAGCTCTTCACATCAAGTGCCCAAAGTATTGGAGTTTTAGGTTCATATTAGTCCTTCCAATGTATATTCAGGCCTGATTTCCTGTAGGATGGAGTGGTTGGGTCTCCTTGTAGTCTAAGCAACCTTCAAGCGTGTTCTCCAACACCATAGTTCAAAAGCATCAGGTCTTTGTCAGTCAACTTTATAGTCCAATTTTCACATTCATACATGACACAGGGATAAACCATAGCCTTGACTAGATGGATCTTTGTTGGCACAGTAACGTCTCTGCTTTTTAATATGTTGTCTAGTTTGGTCATCACTTTCTTTCCAAGTCGTAAGCATCTTTTCAGAGAAGGCAATGCCAACCCACTCCAGTACTCTTGTCTGGAAAATCCCATGGATGGAGGAGCCTGGTAGGCTGCAGTCCATGGGGTTGCTAAGAGTTGGACACGACTGAGCAACTTCACTTTTCACCTCCATGCATTGGAGAAGGAAATGGCAACCCACTCCAGTGTTCTTGCCTGGAGAATCCCAGGGATGGGTGAGCCTGGTGGGCTGCCGTCTATGGGGTCGCACAGAGTCAGACACAACTGGAGTGACTTAGCAGCAGCAGTAGCAAGCGTCTTTTAATTTCATAGTTGCAGTCACCATCTGCAGTGATTTCCAAGCCCCCCAAAATAAAGTCTGCCGCTGTTTCCCCATCTATTTGCCATGAAGTGATGAGGCCAGATGCAATGATCTTAGTTTTCTGAATGTTGAGCTTTAAGGTAGCTTTAACACTCTCCTCTTTCACTTTTATCAAGAGGCTCTTTAGTTCTTCCCTTTCTGCCATAAGGGTGGTGTCATCTGTATATCTGAGGTTATTGATATTTCTTCTGGCAATCTTGATTCCAGCTTGTGCTTCATCCAGCCCAGTGTTTCTCAAGATGTACTCTGCATATAAGTTAAATAAGGAGGGTGACAATATACAGCCTTGACATATTCCTTTTCCTATTTGGAACCAGTCTGTTGTTCCATGTCCTGCGACCCCATGGACTGCAGGATGCCAGGCTTCCCTGCCCATCACCAACTCCCTGGGCTTGCTCAAACTCACGTCCATCGAGTCAGTGATGCCATCCAACCATCTTATCCTCTGTTGTCCCCTTCTCCTCTGCCTTCAATCGAGACTATTATAGACAGATATTTTAAAGTATAATTATTTTTAAGTTTATCTAAAAGCTCATATCGCATTTGCATTTTTTAGGTTTGTTTGTTTTTAGAGGCACTTTGTTGACAAGCTTGTGACAGATATAACAATATAGCAATATTTAACTTATAATAAACCTAGCACTATGAAAATTTTATGCTTAATATTAATAACTCTTAGACATGTCTATATTAGAGTAGCTAAAAAGAATACTAGATATTTAATTTTGATTATTTCCCAGTTCACATGAATCTAAAATTCATTTAGGTCAATTTTTTCTTGTATTTAGAACTGTTTGATTTGTAAGGGCTTCCTTTTCTTTAGATTATTTAAATAAGAACTCACAACTTCAGCAATGTTATCAAAAAACAGAAGACTCACACTGAGACATACATAAATCCACACAGACAGACAGAGATCTTCTAGTTTTCTGACTAAGATTTAAAATATCTCTTGACCTCCTTTTGGGGTGGGGGGGAGGGAGGGCTGAAGTTCTCATTTGCCCAAGGCTGAGGTCTCAGGCAAAGTGGGCAGTGTTTTTCAAGGAAAGGGTTAACTTCAAGCTTTGCCCTAGGCAGGCCTTTTTAACAAGCCAATTGTTTTTAATTGCATATGCAAAAGAACCAGCTTTACAGTTTCCAAGAAAAAGTTTTCTTTATTTTAACCAATTTTCTCTGGTTCTATAGAATGTCTTGGGGGTTTTCTGTAGTCATAGTTTTATCCCTGAATTATAGACAGATCAGCTGACAAGGTTTCTGTAGTTGAACCTGCAAAAGGATCATTAACATGGTCCGTTCCAAGAGCGGCGCGGTGGCCTCGCCCCGCCCCGCCCCGCCCGGCTCGTGAGCCTCTCCACCGGAGCGGCGCTGGATGGGAAGGAATGAAGGGAAAGACGTCTGGAAGGCGGTGCGCCCGGGGCGGGCGGTCGGGTCCGTTGGCCTTTTGGGTGGTAGGGGATGAGGAACTGCGCAAGAAGGTGGGGGGCGGGGTGCAGAGTGGGGGTCAGGTGGGAAAGGCGGCTCTCCTCTGCCTTCCCACCCGCCCCGCCGGCCCCTCCGCGCCTCCATCCCCGGCCCTTGCCCCGCGCCCGGTGGCGTCGTCTCTGGTGTCCCTCTTCCGCCAGACCTCCCCGCCACGTTTCCTCGAGGTTGGGTCCAAGGGGTGGGGGATGGGAAGGGGGTGCTCAGCGCGCTCCCACCCCACCCCACGCGCCTTCACCCGTGGCACCGGCCACGACTGCCTCCCCCTGGGGCCGCGGACCGCACGGCGCGGATCCTCCGGTCGCGTCTCGCGGGCTGTGCGGCTTGACGGCGGGGTGGCCGCTTGCCTGCCCGTCGCCTCCCGCCGCTGGCCCTGGACCGGTCTGCTTCGGCCAGTCGTCAGTCGTCCGCTGCTCTGGGCCTGCCGCGCGGTCGCCAGGCGCCTCCCCACGCCCTCCGAGTCTCGGGGCTTGCTTCCAATCCCCCCTCTCCAGGCCTCCCGCGGCTGTCTTGTCCGGTTCTCTGCCCTCTTGCCCCCTTACTTCTGTCGTGTCCCCTGCTCGCTTGGCGCCACGCTTCCCGTCGGAGCCCCTTCCCTCTGCCCTTGGTGGTGGGGGGAGAAGGCTGCCTGGGACTCGGGCGCGGGTAGGGGTCCCGGTGGTTGAGGCGAGAGGACGGGGTCCGGGGCGGGGGGGCGGCCCTACGGATGTGCGAGGTGGTGGGGAAGGGCTCTGCCCCGTTTCAGGGGGATGTGGGGATGGTCTTATGGTGTCGGCGGGGACCTCCGGGCGGGGGTTGACCAGCGCATGGTGGGGCCCCAATGCATCACGGCCGGCTGCGCCGAAGCCTGCGGGCGGGGTCGCAGTGGTGGTCGAAGTTCCGCGGTGGCCAGTGGGGCGCGCAGTGCGCCTCGCCCGCCTCCCCCTTTTCAGGTACCTAGCCGTGGGGCTTCCCTGGTTGCTCAGATGGTAAAGCTTCTGCCTGCAATGCAGGAGACCCGGGTTTGATCCCTGAGTTGGGAAGATCCCCTGGAGAAGGAAATGGCAACCCACTCCAGTACTCTTGCCTGGAAAATTCCATGGACGGAGGAGCCTGGTAGGCTACAGTCCATGGAATCACAAAGAGTCGGACACGGCTGAGCGACTTCACTTCACAGCTGATAAAAAGCTTAGGTTTTCTCCTTGGGGTGGATTTGCTCCTGGATGGATTTCACCTGGCGGCAGTAGCTTGGCCCGTGGGCCTCTCCTGGAAGTGGGCGTGGGCGGAGTGCGCCTCCTCCGAGCTCCTAGGCAGTGGGTCCCAGGTCTCAGGGGTCTCCATTGCGGCTGGGAACACTCATTTCGTGGGCTCCTGGGTCCCCATCGAACAGCATCCAGTGAGTGGAGCGGAGGGGTGCCGACCACAGGTAAGGGAACTGGGGCTCGATGGCGCAGGGTGGAGCAGGAAACCACATATTCCGCCCTCTCTGTTGGCAGAGTCTCGGAGCTCCCTAACCTGGACCTCGCCATTGGGGTCAAGGCCTTTACCACTTTACCCCTTCTCATAAAGCTCAGACCCTCGCAGTTTTCCCAAGCAGCCTAGTGCCTGCAGCGAGGTCCTCAGGAAGTCCCAGGGATTTATCCTGCCTGTTGACTTCACCTGCTGGGATGCCACAACCTGTACTCTGGCCAGCTGGCCCAGCCCTGCTTCTGGTAGTTTGCAGCCCAGTGAGCCCTTGACCACCTGCTGGGATGGGAAAGGGAAGGGTCCTCGAATTGCACCCTAGAAACTTAGTAGGGTGCATGGATTTAAAACCCTGGCGGCCACCCAGGAAGAAAAGAAGGGAGGAGGGCACCTTGCTGCCCTTTCCTGGGGGAGTCTGTGGCTGTCCTGCTGAGAGGGGGCCTTTCCATGGGGACCCTGTGCAAAAAGTGTGGTGTTTTGGAACTGAAAATTAGAACGTGTACAATTTTAAAATTATGTGATGCTTTAATTAAAAAAAAAAGCTCCAACTTTTTTGCAAATTGAGGTCTAAAAATTGAAGGCCCATTTTCCTTCCACTGTGGCATTCTATGAAGAAATGTGCTTTTTTTTTTTTTTTTTTTAAAGAAAAGAGTCAGAAAAGTGAGGGAAACAGAAAACCCAGAGGTGCCCCTGTAGTTTGGTGAAGGCCTTAGGAGGTCACTTGTGGATACTCCTGGCTGTCGGGCGGCAGTCTCTTCCTGTGGCTGATGAGCGCAGAACTCTGCAGGCTTGTCCTCTGCATGGATGTTCTTGTTTGTGGAAATCCAGCTCGGAGCCATCTCCTGATGTGTAAGAATTTCCCAGACTAGACCCCTAGGCAAATCCCTTAGGGCCAGGGACTCCTTTCTTCATTGTATTTGTCTGTTTGAATGAAAAGCAGCAATGACATATTTTTCTTTAAATCTGGTCTGTCATGATGGTCTATCTAAATCTGGACTTGGAGTCATATTTCCCATCCCTCTCAATAGGCTTGGGTCCCAGGAATGAATTATAATCAGTTGTCCATGATTTTACAGATGAGGAAACTGAGAGCCAGAGAGGGTGGAGGACTGTCCAAGGGAGAATGGGATATCCTTCCAGGAGCCCTGGCTCCTGGGTTTTTAATGAGCTTCCTACCCAGCATGGTCATTAATTGGCAAGTGTTGACATTGAGAATAAACTATGGGTGGAAGTGTAAAAGGCTTTTTAAAAGAATGTGCCTACCAGCTGTGCATCTTATGG